TTCTTGTTTCTGACGTCATTTCCGGCTAGCCTCTGATTGGTTGTTCAAAAACTCAAAGCATGCAGGACGATTCTCTGCATTTCTAGCTGACCACCCCACCCCCACCGAACTCCAGGGTCGTGCTAATTGTACAACTGGTTGAATCCGCGACTTTTGTTAGTTGTCTGTAGTCCAATCTATAACTGGCTGCACATGTAAGAGAAGTGCTGGTCGCAATGTTTCCTTAATTAACTTTACTACACTCAGGGGAAATCTGAACGGGCTCCGTCTCCTTAGATCTTTGAAACAGACCAACAGACACTGTCAGTGTAGACAATTTATTGTAGATACATGATGCCATCCTTATTGTTTCTGTTGGTGGAGTAACTATCTCATCACTTGTTGTAGATACATGATGTCATCCTTATTGTTACTGTTGGTGGAGTAACTATCTCACCACTTGTTGTAGATACATGATGCCATCCTTATTGTTACTGTTGGTGGAGTAACTATCTCATCACTTGTTGTAGATACATGATACCATCCTTATTGTTACTGTTGGTGGAGTAACTATCTCATCACTTGTTGTAGATACATGATGCCATCCTTATTGTTACTGTTGGTGGAGTAACTATCTCACCACTTGTTGTAAATACATGATGTCATCCTTATTGTTACTGTTGGTGGAGTAACTATCTCATCACTTGTTGTAGATACATGATGCCATCCTTATTGTTACTGTTGGTGGAGTAACTATCTCACCACTTGTTGTAGATACGTGATGCCATCCTTATTGTTACTGTTGGTGGAGTAACTATCTCACCACTTATTGTAGATACATGATTTCATCCTTATTGTTTCTGTTGGTGAAGTAACTATCTCATCACTTATTGTAGATACATGATGTCATCCTTATTGTTACTGTTGGTGGAGTAACTATCTCACCACTTGTTGTAGATACATGATGCCATCCTTATTGTTACTGCTGGTGGAGTAACTATCTCATCACTTGTTGTAGATACATGATGCCATCCTTATTGTTACTGTTGGTGGAGTAACTATCTCACCACTTGTTGTAGATACATGATGTCATCCTTATTGTTACTGTTGGTGGAGTAACTATCTCATCACTTGTTGTAGATACATGATGCCATCCTTATTGTTACTGTTGGTGGAGTAACCATCTCACAGCTTGTTGTAGATAAGTGATGTCATCCTGGTTGTTACTGTTGGTGGAGTAACTAACTCACCACTTGTTGTAGATACATGATGCCATCCTTATTGTTACTGTTGGTGGAGTAACTATCTCATCACTTGTTGTAGATACATGATGCCATCCTTATTGTTTCTGTTGGTGGAGTAACTATCTCATCACTTGTTGTAGATACATGATGCCATATTGATTGTTACTGTTGGTGGAGTAACTATCTCATCCCTTGTTGTAGATACATGATGCCATCCTTATTGTTTCTGTTGGTGGAATAACTATCTCATCACTTGTTGTAGATACATGATGCCATCCTTATTGTTTCTGTTGGTGGAGTAACTATCTCATCACTTGTTGTAGATACATGATGCCATCCTGATTGTTACTGCCGGTGGAGTAACTATCTCATCACTTGTTGTAGATACATGAAGCCATCCTTATTGTTACTGTTGGTGGAGTAACTATCTCACCACTTGTTGTAGATACATGATGCCATCCTTATTGTTACTGTTGGTGGAGTAACTATCTCACCACTTGTTGTAGATACATGATGCCATCCAGATTGTTACTGTTGGTGGAGTAACCATCTCACAGCTTGTTGTAGATAAGTGATGTCATCCTGGTTGTTACTGTTGGTGGAGTAACTAACTCACCACTTGTTGTAGATACATGATGCCATCCTTATTGTTACTGTTGGTGGAGTAACTATCTCACCCCTTGTTGTAGATACATGATGCCATCCTGATTGTTACTGTTGGTGGAGTAACTATCTCATCACTTGTTGTAGATAAGTGATGTCATCCTGGTTGTTACTGTTGGTGGAGTAACTAACTCACCACTTGTTGTAGATACATGATGCCATCCTTATTGTTACTGTTGGTGGAGTAACTATCTCATCACTTGTTGTAGATACATGATGCCATCCTTATTGTTACTGCTGGTGGAGTAACTATCTCACCACTTGTTGTAGATACATGATGCCATCCTTATTGTTTCTGTTGGTGGAGTAACTAACTCATCACTTGTTGTAGATACATGATGTCATCCTGGTTGTTACTTTTGGTGGAGTAACTATCTCATCACTTGTTGTAGATACATGATGCCATCCTTATTGTTTCTGTTGGTGGAGTAACTATCTCATCACTTGTTGTAGATACATGATGTCATATTTATTGTTACTGTTGGTGGAGTAACTATCTCACCACTTGTTGTAGATACATGATGTCATATTTATTGTTACTGTTGGTGGAGTAACTATCTCATCACTTGTTGTAGATACATGATGTCATCCTGATTGTTACTGCTGGTGGAGTAACTATCTCATCACTTGTTGTAGATACATGATGTCATCCTTATTGTTTCTGCTGGTGGAGTAACTATCTCATCACTTGTTGTAGATACATGATGTCATATTTATTGTTACTGTTGGTGGAGTAACTATCTCATCACTTGTTGTAGATACATGATGTCATATTTATTGTTACTGTTGGTGGAGTACCTAACTCATCACTTGTTGCAGATACATGATGCCATCCTGATTGTTACTGCTGGTGGAGTAACTATCTCATCACTTGTTGTAGATACATGATGCCATCCTTATTGTTACTGTTGGTGGAGTAACTATCTCACCACTTGTTGTAGATACATGATGCCATCCTTATTGTTACTGTTGGTGGAGTAATTATCCCATTACTTGTTGTAGATACATGATGTCATCCTTATTGTTTCTGCTGGTGGAGTAACTATCTCATCACTTGTTGTAGATACACGATGTCATCCTTATTGTTACTGTTGGTGGAGTAACTATCTCATCACTTGTTGTAGATACATGATGTCATCCTTATTGTTACTGTTGGTGGAGTAACTATCTCATCACTTGTTGTAGATACATGATGCCATCCTTATTGTTTCTGCTGGTGGAGTAACTATCTCATCACTTGTTGTAGACACATGATGTCATCCTTATTGTTACTGTTGGTGGAGTAACTATCTCATCACTTGTTGTAGATACATGATGCCATCCTTATTGTTTCTGTTGGTGGAGTAACTATCTCATCACTTGTTGTAGATACATGATGTCATCCTTATTGTTACTGTTGGTGGAGTAACTATCTCATCACTTGTTGTAGATACATGATGCCATCCTTATTGTTTCTGTTGGTGAAGTAACTATCTCATCACTTGTTGTAGATACATGATGCCATCCTTATTGTTACTGTTGGTGGAGTAACTATCTCATCACTTGTTGTAGATACATGATGCCATCCTTATTGTTACTGTTGGTGGAGTAACTATCTCACCACTTGTTGTAGATGGTTATTTCTTGGTATCTATAGACTTATAATGGAATCTATACATTTCTGAGTATCTATAGACTTATGATGGAATCTATACATTTCTGAGTATCTATAGACTTATGATGGAATCTATACATTTCTGAGTATCTATAGACTTATGACAGAATCTATACAATTCTGAGTATCTATGGACGTATGACGGAATCTATACATTTCTGAGTATCTAAAGACTTATGACAGAATCTATACATTTCTGAGTATCTATACTCTTATGACAGAATCTATACACTTCTGAGTATCTATGGACGTATGACGGAATCTATACATTTCTGAGTATCTAAAGACTTATGACGGAATCTATACATTTCTGAGTATCTAAAGACCTATGACGGAATCTATACATTTCTGAGTATCTATAGACATGACGGAATCTATACATTTCTGAGTATCTATAGACTTATGACAGAATCTATTCTTTTTTGAGTATCTATAGACTTACGACGGAATCTATGCATTGACTCAGTGGTCCTGGCTAGAACTGCGTCACCTCTCAGATAACGAGTGTGTGCGTGAGGGTGGGTTGTTATGTGTGTGTGTGTGTGTGTCTGTGTCAGTGGGTTGTTAGGGTGTGTGTGTTGTGTGAGGGTGGGTTGTTGGGTGTGTGTGTGTGTGCGTGTGTATATATGTGTCGGTGTGTATGGGTTGTTGGGTGTGTGTGTGTGTGTGTGTGTATGTGTCTGAATGGGTTGGTTGTTACGGGGGGGGGGGGCGGAGGTGTGTGTATGTGTGTGTGTGTGTGTGCGTGTGTGTATATGTGACGGTGTGTGTGTGTGTGTGTGTGAAAATTGAAAAATGCTCTGGCATGCATCAGTAGCGCTTAGCGCACCCACCCCCCACCCCCCCCCACCCCCCACCCCCCCTCCCCCACCCCCATCCCCCAAATTATGAGGGGCCTTCAAGGGAGATGAGCACCAGGTCCTAGCGCCTATGGAGCCTGCCCCGTCGTCAACTGCTTCCCTTGAAAACACTTCAAGGGATATTCATGTTCTATAAAACCGGCTAAATGATAGTTTTCCTTATTATATTTCAACGACTCTTTTAAATAACAGCTTACATCCAAATCTACCAGAAGAACTAACTGTAAAGTACTCAATACCAGCTTACATCCAAGCTGAGAGACAGAATAAACTAACAGTCTAGTAGAATGAACTAATTGTCTAGTCAAGTCAACACACTGTCTAGTAGGAATGAACTAATTGTCTAGTCAAGTGAACACACAGTCTAGTAGAAACGAACGAACAAACTGTTACCTGTCAGTATTTGTGATCACACTGATTACCCCGGCTCTGTGGATGCTGGGCTCCATATCCGCGGGACATGGACGGAACAACAAGCTACAGTTGGAGAACACTGGGGCTGTTGCTCGGTACACATTTTCTGATTGAGTACCAGACTTTACTAATTTTCCGTTAAACGGATGACGTCATGGTAGATTTGTGATGTGCTGACCGGCAGATATGGGAGGTGATGTGTTGACAGACAGATATGGGAAGGAACGTGTTGACCAGCAGATGTGGGAGGGTACTGTTCACAGGCAGATATGGGAGGTGATGTGTTGACTGGAATATATGGAAGTTGATGTGTTGACCGGCAGATATGGCAGGTGATGTGTTCACAGGCAGATATGGGAGGTGATGTGTTGACTGGAATATATGGAAGTTGATGTGTTAACCGGCAGATATGGCAGGTGATGTGTTCACAGGCAGATATGGGAGGTGATGTGTTGACTGGAATATATGGAAGTTGATGTGTTGACCGGCAGATATGGGAGGGAACGTGTTGACCGGCAGATATGGGAGGGAATGTGTTGACCTGTTTCTGCTATTGACACACGAGTGCGTTTGCCAGGTTGATACAATCTGCTCGTTCTTTAGTCTGAGTGTGAAACAGCAATGCACTATGCTACGTCTGTCAGTCTGTCCGTCTGTCTATTTCCATTGTAAGCATACATGCGTACAAGCATTATGTAAGTATCTATCTTTCAATTTATCTATCTATCTAATCTATTTATTTATTTAATCTATTTATTTATTTAATCTATCTATCTATCTATCTATCTATCTATCTATCTATCTATCTATCTATCTATCTATCTATCTATCTATCTATCTATCTATCTATCTATCTATCTATCTATCTATCTATCTGTCTGTCTGTCTGTCTGTCTGTCTGTCTGTCTGTCTGTCTGTCTGTCTGTCTGTCTGTCTGTCTGTCTGTCTGTCTGTCTGTCTGTCTGTCTGTCTGTCTGTCTGTCTGTCTGTCTGTCTGTCTGTCTGTCTGTCTGTCTGTCTGTCTGTCTGTCTGTCTGTCTGTCTATACACACTCGTAATCTTATTGCGTTGATAAGACAGACAGACAGACAGACAGACAGACAGACAGACAGACAGACAGACAGACAGCGCAAAAATCTACAGGAACTGTGATGTTTAAAGGAAGGGAAATTACTCAAGCACAAATTAGGTCAGCGGTAATTGTTTGTGGCTCTAGGCAATGACGTGGGATCAGCGAGTAAACACACCCTTAGAGCATTAGAAACATCCAGACCATGCATGTAAACACACACCTAGAGCCGGCCAAGGATGTAAACACACACCTAGAGCCGGCCAAGAATGTAAACACACACCTAGAGCCGGCCAAGGATGTAAACACACACCTAGAGCCGGCCAAGGATGTAAACACACACCTAGAGCCGGCCAAGGATGTAAACACACCCTTATAGCATTAGAAACAGCGCATTTGTTTGATAGAAAATAATGATGCAATAATTATTGAGTTCACGGATCATCCTCTGTGCACATCAGATCATACAGGGCACATCAGATCATACAGTGCACATCAGATCATACAGTGCACATCAGATCATACAGTGCACATCAGATCATACAGTGCATACCAAATCATACAGTGCATACCAAATCATACAGTGCACATCAGATCATACAGTGCATACCAAATCATACAGTGCATACCAGATCATACAGTGCACATCAGATCATACAGTGCACATCAGATCATACTGTGCACATCAGATCATACAGTGCACATCAGATCATACAGTGCACATCAGATCATACAGTGCATACCAGATCATACAGTGCACATCAGATCATACAGTGCATACCAAATCATACAGTGCATACCAGATCATACAGTGCACATCAGATCATACAGTGCATACCAAATCATACAGTGCATATCAGATCATACAGTGCACATCAGATCATACAGTGCACATAAGATCATACAGTGCATATCATATATACAGTGCACATCAGATCATATAGTGCACATCAGATCATACAGTGCACATCTGATCATACAGTGCACATCTGATCATACAGTGCAAATCTGATCATACAGTGCACATCAGATCATAAAGTGCATATCAGATCATACAGTGCACATGTGCTCCGGATGCCCTGGACGTGACCAGTTCTGTGCTGGTTTATTTTTCTTCTTTCACTTCCTGCATAGTTCTGTTGCCTGGTCTCACCCCTTTGAACTCACTTCCTGCATAGTTCTGTTGCCTGGTCTCACCCCTTTGAACTCACTTCCTGCATAGTTCTGTTGCCTGGTCTCACCCCTTTGAACTCACTTCCTACATAGTTCTGTTGCCTGGTCTCACCCCTTTGAACTCACTTCCTGCATAGTTCTGTTGCCTGGTCTCACCCCTTTGAACTCACTTCCTACATAGTTCTGTTGCCTGGTCTCACCCCTTTGAACTCACTTCCTGCATAGTTCTGTTGCCTGGTCTCACCCCTTTGAACTCACTTCCTGCATAGTTCTGTTGCCTGGTCTCACCCCTTTGAACAAACTTCCTGCATAGTTCTGTTGCCTGGTCTCACCCCTTTGAACTCACTTCCTGCATAGTTCTGTTGCCTGGTCTCACCCCTTTGAACTCACTTCCTACATAGTTCTGTTGCCTGGTCTCACCCCTTTGAACTCACTTCCTGCATAGTTCTGTTGCCTGGTCTCACCCCTTTGAACAAACTTCCTGCATAGTTCTGTTGCCTGGTCTCACCCCTTTGAACTCACTTCCTACATAGTTCTGTTGCCTGGTCTCACCCCTTTGAACTCACTTCCTACATAGTTCTGTTGCCTTTTCTCACCCCTTTGAACAAACTTCCTGCATAGTTCTGTTGCCTGGTCTCACCCCTTTGAACTCACTTCCTGCATAGTTCTGTTGCCTGGTCTCACCCCTTTGAACAAACTTCCTGCATAGTTATGTTGCCTGGTCTCACCCCTTTGAACAAACTTCCTGCATAGTTCTGTTGCCTGGTCTCACCCCTTTGAACAAACTTCCTGCATAGTTCTGTTGCCTGGTCTCACCCCTTTGAACTCACTTCCTGCATAGTTCTGTTGCCTGGTCTCACCCCTTTGAACAAACTTCCTGCATAGTTCTGTTGCCTGGTCTCACCCCTTTGAACAAACTTCCTGCATAGTTCTGTTGCCTGGTCTCACCCCTTTGAACAAACTTCCTGCATAGTTCTGTTGCCTGGTCTCACCCCTTTGAACTCACTTCCTGCATAGTTCTGTTGCCTGGTCTCACCCCTTTGAACTCACTTCCTGCATAGTTCTGTTGCCTGGTCTCACCCCTTTGAACTCACTTCCTGCATAGTTCTGTTGCCTGGTCTCACCCCTTTGAACTCACTTCCTGCATAGTTCTGTTGCCTGGTCTCACCCCTTTGAACTCACTTCCTGCATAGTTCTGTTGCCTGGTCTCACCCCTTTGAACTCACTTCCTGCATAGTTCTGTTGCCTGGTCTCACCCCTTTGAACTCACTTCCTGCATAGTTCTGTTGCCTGGTCTCACCCCTTTGAACTCACTTCCTGCATAGTTCTGTTGCCTGGTCTCACCCCTTTGAACTCACTTCCTGCATAGTTCTGTTGCCTGGTCTCACCCCTTTGAACTCACTTCCTGCATAGTTCTGTTGCCTGGTCTCACCCCTTTGAACTCACTTCCTGCATAGTTCTGTTGCCTGGTCTCACCCCTTTGAACTCACCTCCTGCGTAGTTCTATTGCCTGGTCTCACCCCTTTGAACAAACTTCCTGCATAGTTCTGTTGCCTGGTCTGACCCCTTTGAACTCACTTCCTGCATAGTTCTGTTGCCTGGTCTCACCCCTTTGAACTCACTTCCTGCGTAGTTCTGTTGCCTGGTCTCACCCCTTTGAACTCACTTCCTGCATAGTTCTGTTGCCTGGTCTCACCCCTTTGAACTCACTTCCTGCGTAGTTCTGTTGCCTGGTCTCACCCCTTTGAACTCACTTCCTGCATAGTTCTGTTGCTGGTCTCACCCCTTTGAACTCACTTCCTGCATAGTTCTGTTGCCTGGTCTCACCCCTTTGAACTCACTTTTCTTGCAGTCTGATCATGCATGCAGATTCAAAGTCATCCATAGCTCCTAGCGAATATCTTACTTCACCGAGTAGCCTTACCTGCAAGCATGTCAGCTTGTCCTTTTACTTTTACATCCCCCACCCCCCTCCCACCCCAGGGAAAGGGGGGGGGGGTCTAATTGAGCATTAGTGAAAAAGTTGATTTACAGTCGATGTGGTTACACTGTCATTAGTCAGGCGATAAGGAAAGTTTTGTGTGGGAGTAGAAACTTTAAGAGCACTTTAAAAAAATCCATGTTGCATAATGCATGTCATTATTAGTCTAAGTCTCTCTCTCTCTCTCTCTCTCTCTCTCTCTCTCTCTCTCTCTCTCTCTCTCTCTCTCTCTCTCTCTCTCTCTCTCTCTCTCTCTCTCTCTCTCAAGTCCATGAAGCACAGTTTAACCATGTGACGTAACACAGAGGGCAAATGTCTACACGCAGCGGTATTTCTGACATGTCAAGTAACCTCTATCCTTCTTCTTTCTTTCATCCCACCAGTGCCTTCCAGTCGTCACGATTATTTGCTCTTGGTCTCTTCTGCTGAACTGCTAATAGAGTCATGTGTGTGGATTGTCCCCTTTTGTGGGGAAAATCAGTTCTCGAGTTGTCTTTCTTAAACGTTTTGATTGGACGATCTATGTGACCAACATATTTTCTGCGATCTCTTAAGAAACGACACCTGGGCGTTCTTCTTTAAAACCCGAGGCTTCTTCATGAGTTCCTTACGATCGCGTGATTGTCCATGGTTCACGTATGTGAGGCTTCTGCGTGAATTCTCAACGATCGTGTGATTGTCTACAGTATTCATCCACTGTCGTGGTTTGAACCAGATCAGTAAATGACAACCCCGACCTCACCGCAAACGGGTCGCCACATAGCTGCCCCGAACCTGTACCAACGAAAACCACACCGTGTCCATGACAGCACCCTGTTGAGAAACTGACACAGACTGCAGTCTCAGTAAATCAGATAGCATACACACTCATTAAATGCACAAGGCAGCCGTCACAAATGCCAACATAAACAGTCTGACACTAGAAATGCATTTCATCGTCGACTGAAGCAGTAGTTGCAGCAGGTCAGTAGTTGCACGCATGATTATTCACATAAGGCACTATGTTTCTGTAGCAACAAGCCACTCGCCGTTTTCTGTATCTACAGTTCACAACACCACGCTGGATACAGTTGAAAAGCATTGCAAATTAAATCTGCAGCTCACAGTGTCGCACCGTGCACCCAACCTAGTAGCTGATCGACGAAACTTTATTCTTGCCGTCTACACATCGGAGAAAATGTAAGGGCCACATATTGTCATAAGCAAAAACTTACCACGACTAAAAACATTAAGCAGCTTAACATTAGTATTTCCCGGGAGTCTAAAGGTTTCGTATTTTATAATACGCAATTGAAAGTTTACGTTAGGTCTCAAAATTCCCCAGTTTTTGGGCTCAGGCCCGCCATTGTGAGGCTGCACCATGAAGTCAGTTTTGTGAGGGCATGCAATAATTTAGCTATTTATAAAATACATTATGGAACAAATGAAAATTCAGTTCAGTATCAAACAGTTTCAAACATTGTTTCATTTCTTTACCCACAGACTTTTTGAAACTCATCCGGAAGTTCAGAACGTGTTCGTGCCATTCAAAGGTCAGTCCAAGGAAAGCCTTAGGGACAGCGCGCAGCTCAAGTCTCACGCGCTCAGGGTGATGGGCACGGTAGAGAAGTGCGTCACTCGCTTCCAGGAGCCGGAGAAGATCTCTCAGATGCTCCACGAGTTGGGAGCTCGGCATGTCATGTATAATGCCAAGGTTGATTACATTGATGTAAGTCTTCTGTTACGTCACTATTAAGGGTAGACAGTGTGACGTCAGGACAAAAGGTTGATAGTGTGACCTCGTGGTAAAGGGTAGAGAGTCTGAGGTCAGAGCTAAGGGGTAGACAGGGTTCCGTCATGACAAAGGGTAGACAATGTGACGCCAGGGTAAAGAGTAGTCAGTCTGACGTCAGGGCGAAGGTGCACGGTGTAAAGTCCGGGTAAAGAGTAGTTAGTGTGACGTCAGGGCAAAGGTACATGGAGTAACGTCATGGTAAAGAGAGTTAGTGGGACTCAGAGCAAAGGGTAGATAGTGTGACGTCAGTGCTAAGGGGTAGACAGTGTGTTGTCAGGACGAAGGGTAGTCAGTATGACGTCAGGGCAAAGAGTCGGCAGTGTGACGTCAGGACAAAGGGCAGACAGTGTGACGTCATAAAGAGAAAAAAATGAAATGTCACAGATTGTGTTTTAAGGATTGGCTCCTGCAGATTTGCATTCTTTATCTAAATCTGTATTAATTTTTTGCTATTTCTTTTTTTTATATATATTTTTTTTATTTCACTATTGTTTATTATTATTAGTATTATTATTATTATTATTATTATTAATTATTATTATTACACTGGAACTTTAATATTTGTCATGAATCCGTTCCTCAAGGAAGGACGAATATTAAAAAAGACGAATATTAAAAAAGACAAAAACCAAACTGGTTTTTCCAATAAGAATCAACTAAACATGTTTCAATCTCTTCCAAGCCCCGAATTTATCCTCTTTTTATTTTGAATGCACTAGAAAATGTGTCTCGGAAATCACTGCAAATACGTTTAAATGACATATTAACCAATGTAGTAATTATTGTTTGTATCATCACTACAGAGATGTACTTGATCTGGCGACGTAGGTATTCTACAGGCCTACATAAATACATACCAAATGTTTCACAATACATTCATATTTTGGATTTTAAACAATAGAGGGGGGGGGGGCGGCAGGGGCGTTGTTTGGAAGAAGAGTCACTTTCCATAATGACATCAGGTAATTTCGCGTCTGGTGATTCATGTACTGACAATTTATCAGCCTTTTCAGATGATTCATCAGCACTTATCTGTTTTAAGAAGTTTTAATAATTTTTTTCCTATGACTAAATACACCGTAATAAAATGAATTCGTGCGCTAACTGACTTTAACGATTTTTGGGTGCTAGTTCTTAATTCCTTAATTTCAGCACTTGGAACACGGCCTTCTCCAGTCATTTATATCTAAAGATGGCCGTGACTTGGAACAGTCTCATTATCCTGGTTTTCCTCTCTGATGACGCACCAGCCACACCGGAGGAGGGACGAATATTGACTTTTCGAGCGAATATCAAATACAAATTTCAACGAAAAAACAGGACGAATTATTTAAAAATCAAATATTGCCGTCGATAATTATTGGATTTCATCGTATTATTATCATAATCGTCATCATCATCATCTGTTCATTCATTCGTTTACGTTTCGCTTAAAACAGATCTTTCTGTTCCCGCCTTTCCTTGTCGGTTTAAATTCTTTCTAAATGTGCTCCCTCGTTTCAGGGATTAGGGGTTAGGATTTACCTTCGTATTCTCAACGTTGATAAAGTCTTTGGAAGAAACGTTCATTTGTACGGGTGCAAGGGTTTTCATTGTCCCCTCTCGTTGAACTTAATGAAAGTATTTACTGTGATAACGTCACGACACATAAATTGGTCTATGGGCTTGCCGGAGAAGATTTCTTCTCATACTCACTCTTCCTCTCCTTCTGATCCTACCCTCATCTTCCTTCCCTTTCTTCTTCTTTCGCTGGTACTTTTTTTTTTTAAATTGCTCTAATAACATGCCATAGGCAGAGTACTAATCTCTTGGAGCAAGGAAAATGACACAAATGTCACAAGAATACATTGTTTCAACTAACAACACAAACTCATCAGACATGCACGTAATTCATTTGTGAATATGTCCTTCTTGTTGCAGCTGATTGGGCCGCAATTTATCTGGGCCATCGAGCCGGTCATTGGGGAGCATTGGACAGCGGAAGTTGAACAAGCGTGGTCAGATCTGTTCAAGTATATCAGCTACATCATGAAGGACGCCATGGCGTTTTGATGAGAACATTTGGAGCCTGTAGCGACCTGGGTCTGGCAGCTGACGCACCTGAGACATCTGTTATGTTGCAACAGAGTCCGGCTATTTAATGACAGTTATCTTAGTGTTCCAAGTTATCCCGGGTATTTGTGCTATAGTTCCTGGTTGTCTAAATGTTCCAATTTATCCCGGGTATTTGTGCTATAGCTGCTAGTTATCCTAGTGTCCAAGTTATCCCGGGTATTTGTGCCATAGTTCCTGGTTGTCTAAATGTTCCAGGTTATCCCGGGTATTTGTGCTATAGTTCCTGGTTGTCCAAGTGTTCCAAGTTATCCCGGGTATTTGTGCCATAGTTCCTGGTTGTCTAAGTGTTCCAAGATCCCGGGTATTTGTGCTATAGTTCCTGGTTGTCTAAATGTTCCAAGTTATCCCGGGTATTTGTGCCATAGTTCCTGGTTGTCTAAATGTTCAAAGTTATCCCGGGTATTTGTGCCATAGTTCCTGGTTGTCTAAATGTTCCAAGATCCCGGGTATTTGTGCCATAGTTCCTGGTTGTCTAAATGTTCCAAGATCCCAGGTATTTGTGCCATAGTTCCTGGTTGTCTAAATGTTCCAAGTTATCCCGGGTATTTGTGCCATAGTTCCTGGTTGTCTAAATGTTCCAAGTTTTCCCGGGTATTTGTGCCATAGTTCCTGGTTGTCTAAATGTTCCAAGTTATCCCGGGTATTTGTGCCATAGTTCCTGGTTGTCTAAATGTTCAAAGTTATCCCGGGTATTTGTGCCATAGTTCCTGGTTGTCTAAATGTTCCAAGATCCCGGGTATTTGTGCCATAGTTCCTGGTTGTCTAAATGTTCCAAGATCCCAGGTATTTGTGCCATAGTTCCTGGTTGTCTAAATGTTCCAAGTTATCCCGGGTATTTGTGCCATAGTTCCTGGTTGTCTAAATGTTCCAAGTTATCCCGGGTATTTGTGCCATAGTTCCTGGTTGTCTAAATGTTCCAAGTTATCCCGGGTATTTGTGCCATAGTTCCTGGTTGTCTAAATGTTCCAAGTTATCCCGGGTATTTGTGCCATAGTTCCTGGTTGTCTAAATGTTCCAAGTTATCCCGGGTATTTGTGCTAGAGCTGCTAGTTATCCTAGTGTCCAAGTTATCCCGGGTATTTGTGCCATAGTTCCTGGTTGTCTAAATGTTCCAAGATCCCGGGTATTTGTGCCATAGTTCCTGGTTGTCTAAATGTTCCAAGATCCCGGGTATTTGTGCCATAGTTCCTGGTTGTCCAAATGTTCCAAGTTATCCCGGGTATTTGTGCTATAGTTCCTGGTTGTCTAAATGTTCCAAGTTATCCCGGGTATTTGTGCCATAGTTCCTGGTTGTCTAAATGTTCCAAGTTATCCCGGGTATTTGTGCCATAGTTCCTGGTTGTCTAAGTGTTCCAAGATCCCGGGTATTTGTGCTATAGTTCCTGGTTGTCTAAATGTTCCAATTTATCCCGGGTATTTGTGCCAGAGCTGCTAGTTATCCTAGTGTCCAAGTTATTCCGGGTATTTGTGCCATAGTTCCTGTTTGTCCTAGTGTAACGAGTTATCCTGGGTGTTTATGCTTTAGTTCCTGGTTATCCTAGTGTTGCAAGTTATCCCGGATATTTGTGCTATAGTTCCTGGTGGTCCAAGTGTTTCAAGTTATCTCAGGTTTTTGTGCTAGAGTTCCTGGTTGTCCAAGTGATCACGGGTTTTTGTGCTTGAGTTCCTGGTTGTCCAAGTGATCCCGGGTATTTGTGCCATAGTTCCTGGTTGTCTAAATGTTCCAAGTTATCCCGGGTATTTGTGCTATAGTTCCTGGTTGTCTAAATGTTCCAAGTTATCCCGGGTATTTGTGCCATAGTTCCTGGTTGTCTAAATGTTCCAAGTTATCCCGGGTATTTGTGCCATAGTTCCTGGTTGTCTAAGTGTTCCAAGATCCCGGGTATTTGTGCTATAGTTCCTGGTTGTCTAAATGTTCCAATTTATCCCGGGTATTTGTGCTAGAGCTGCTAGTTATCCTAGTGTCCAAGTTTTTCCGGGTATTTGTGCCATAGTTCCTGTTTGTCCTAGTGTAACGAGTTATACTGGGTGTTTATGCTTTAGTTCCTGGTTATCCTAGTGTTGCAAGTTATCCCGGATATTTGTGCTATAGTTCCTGGTGGTCCAAGTGTTTCAAGTTATCTCAGGTTTTTGTGCTAGAGTTCCTGGTTGTCCAAGTGATCACGGGTTTTTGTGCTTGAGTTCCTGGTTGTCCAAGTGATCACGGGTATTTGTGCTTGAGTTCCTGGTTGTCCAAGTGATCCCGGATATTTGTGCTATAGTTCCTGGTTGTCCAAGTATACGTGTGTTCGTCCACCACTGGACTTTAGTCTTGTTTCAGAACCTGAGTGTTGTGTGCATATTCATTTTACAGACCTGACTTATTTATAAGTAGGCTGTTGGTTCCTTGCCTCTTAGTAAGATGCACTCTGATTTCAAAGAAACCGCCACTTAGTCAACTCTTACGACATGTTTGATGGGTAGGCAGTGGGTCTGTTCTCTCCCCCAAACCCCCCCCCCCTCCCTTCCAACAACGGAGCTCTGGAACCTACGTACGTGGAAGACTTCAGGTCACTCGAGATGATTATTTCTAGAGTTACATGTCTAACGTTGCTAGAGCTACAGGTTAGTCAAGTAAAACCTTACAGGTTGCTGAAATACTATGTCACTGAAATACTATGTCACTGAAATACTATGTCACTGAAATACTATGTCACTGAAATACTATGTCACTGAAATACTATGTCACTGAAATAGAATGTCACTGAAATACAATGTCACTGAAATACTATGTCACTGAAATACAATTTCACTGAAATACAATGTCGCTTAAATACAATGTCACTGAAATATAATGTCACTTAAATACAATGTCACGGAAAAACAATGTCACTAGAATGACAGATTTCTCGAAAATGTTGCTAGAATTGCTTATTAAAACAACTGATTTTTACAAAAGTTGGTACGAATGATATGAAATGTGAATCTACGTTTTACTATTCAATTATTGCTGAAAACACCCACCACCGGCTTCATCATGAGACGCTTCCAGATCCGCCCCTGTTTCACTGCCACGTTTATGAAGCTTTGGTCTAGCTCACAGTCCGTGTTCGGTCGTAGTCTTTCCAGAGCCGGTTACCTGGATCTTTTGCGGAAGGTATGAGAGCTCGGGTAAACTCCATCCTTATTTGCAAATTCCTTTTGTTCTGCGATATATTTTTTCCGAAGAAATTGTATCGCAACTGTATCTTACTTAGTCAACGCTATTTTGAAGCAGACGAGTTAGAAGCAGTGTTGCCACTTTTCTTTGACAAGAAACATCCAAAACAGAGCTAAAAATATATAAAAACATCTTAATTTGCGTGGAAAACATCTAGAAAAAACATCCAGATGGAAAGAGTCACAAATTACATAGCAATTGATATGATTTACCCTATAGAATCATTTCCTCATCTTTACTGAAGATCCACAGGATAAACTTTACTTGGATGATAAATTGAAGCTTCAGATCCAAAATGACTCTGGTATACTTTAGCTAAGAATATCTTGGGTAAAGAAAAGAACAAATGCATCCATACTTCAAGAGCTGAATATTGAAGAGGGTTGGCTAGTAAAGACAATAAAACAAAGAAAATTGAAATATTTTGGTCACTTGAAACGTCATGGAGGTCTAGAGAGAACAATAATGGAGGGGTATATGCCTGGGAAGAGAGGAAGAGGAAGGCCAAGGAGAAGATGGGTGCAGGATGTGGCAGATGATCTCCAGATGGGTGTATCAGACGCAGGACATCTTGCTCATGATAGGAAGGTTTTCCGGAGGGTTGTTATGGCAGCGAGGTTCCGCGAGGGACATGCTACTGAATGAATGAATGAATACTTTAGCTGTTCCAATGTCTTTTAATACCCAATCAAGGAGCTGATAAGTGGACCAGCCTTTTCCTGCTCTTATCAAGCCGAATTGTATTGTCGAGATAGGATTTAGGAGGTCACATTTAATTCTGTTTCTTGGGTTAGATTTGATAAATTCACTCCCAAAAAAAAACATCTAGAATGTAATCTACCATCTAAACGTCAAAAATGCCATCTAAATGCAAGAAAAAACATCTAAATCTAGATGTAAAACATCTAAAGTGGCAGTCGTGCAGCTGTGGCAGAATGACACCTGTAGGACGAGAAACACACTGACCAGAAATTCGTGGCGCGAATGTTCAAATTCAGCTAGTTCTAAGTTTGTTCCCCCAAATAGAGTAGGTAACTTTTCATTCACAAATTTGTTTGGCCGAAGACTTTCTTTAAGTTTACGGGTACGTCCTGCTTTGTTGTGTGATTTCTGCGATGTCTTGCATTTACGTTTTCATTCCGAGAAGGAGAATGCCTGTGACATAGGTTGCAGCACTCTCTAGGGAGGTTGTGTTAGACCCAGTTTACCTATGTTTTAGGGTGTTAAAAGCGAAGGCGTGCTTAAATATACAACGCACGATATCAACAGCATTGCGGAACACTTCAGTAACCATGTGCGACGGTCACGGGGCTAAGGAACTACCAATCAGCGGTGAGCTAGTGTGTATGGGCGGGGTCTGGGGAGACTAAAGTCGAACTGACCTCAAATTCTAACAGAAGGCATTCCCGCTAAAACTTTTACCAAATTTTGTAACAATGGGACGATTTTTAACAGAATTATTTAAAAATATTTTTAAAACTTGTTGATTTTTTTTTTTTTGGGGGGGGGGGGAGTTGAGGGGAGAAGGAGGGGGGTGGCATGGTGCATGTTGTTGGAGCTGCTGAAAATGAAAGCAACTTATCGTTTCTTCCTCTTTTTGAGCAAGCAGAACCTGTGAGGTTGATTGGTCGCAAATATGACCTGCCTCCAGTCATCTCTGTCAGAGGAACTAACGTATTACTAACGTGAAATGTGATACTGCTGTACAAGAGAAAACTTGCCACTACTGCAGTAATCT